GGAAGGCTAAGTAAAGGGACAAGTTATTATATATGGTATGAATCTCTTTATGAATCTGTTAATAATGAAATGGATATAGCCTTAAGAGTGGATGTGTTTCCTATCTTCACTAATGTGTTGAGAAACTCTATGATGAGTGGGAGTGTACGGATAACACTGAGGCAGTAGCGTCTCAATTTTAGGATGAGACAGTCACTAAAATTAGCTTTATGGAGAACGTTGTTTATAAATGCATATATGTAAGTCAATGGGAGCAGTTGCATGTTTCTGTTTTTCATGTCGGTGACAACTTGCTCGCATCTAATGATTATGACCTGCTGGTTAAGACGAATAGCATGTCGCCTAGTCACTTTGGTAGGAGAATCTTGAGAAAGCCTTTTATGTTCTAGGCATTAGATTCTTCGTGACAAGGATAAGTGCATTTTCTGGTCGTCTTAGAGAACCTATATTGTTCTTGTTTCGAACAGGTTCAGTATGCATTCTTGTTATCCTAGTAAGCATTGTTTATTAAAGTGACAAACTCTCAAAGGTGTAATGTCCTTATGGTGAAGTAAGAGAGATCAGATGAAATTGTCCCTTATGCTTACGTGTTTAGCAGCCTAATGTATGCTCAAATACGTACATGTCTTATTATTGTGTTTGTTGTTGATGTGTAGATTCGGTACTTGAGTGATTGTTGTTATTATTATTGAATTAACTGGGAATTAAGTACCAGCTAGTTGTGTATCGGCAAACCAACACTTTTGTGGTAGTTGGATCTCATGATGTCGATTAATCAGGTTGCTTAAATGATAAAAGGAGGAGCTACTTTGTTGAAAAGTGTCAAATAGACACTCGTAGCGTCCTTGACTGTGATATGGAGTATGTTGCGTATTGTGAGGCTATTTGTGTGATGTAATTGTGGAACCTTGTTTCAACATTAGGAGTAGTTCACTCTATTTCTGGACTAGCAGAAACTGTGTTGTGAAAGTTCCATAATAGTATATTTCTCTTATAACACCAGGAGCATTGTCCGCTCAAGCATAATAATGGTGTGTTCTATTTTTGTAAAGAGAAATTGTAAAAGACCTCATTGTTACTGGAAACACTCCTATAAACAACATGTTGACAGTTCTACTAAAGGCTTACCTATTAGGTGTTTTAAGAACACGCATCCCACTTGGGACTGTAAGGAGCCTCTAGTTGTATTGAGTTAGTAGGAGTTTACTGCCATTTGTGTGTGACATGTTGTTATTGATAAAGATTGCTTATGCCTCAAATAATACATGCATATTCATGGATCTGTCACTTTATGTGTGATGTTGTGTTGACACACTTTTTAGTTGGGAAAGTGACGAGTTGAAAAAAGACATCTGGTTGTTAGTCTCTATCATTGTTTTTAATCCATATATTAAAGTTGTCGTCATGCTTTGATGAATCTCCAACGCATGATTATGTATAATGATTGTATCCTGTCGATACGTTATTATGCATGATTGTTTTGGGCTTGTGTTTATTATGTGGGATTCTTAGTTGATGCTTATGCTGTGATGAGTGAATATTTTTTGTATGATTATGTTGTCCAAGTGAGAGACTGTTGGAATATTTTTATGTGGACTTTCATAATCATAATAATTCACTATGTAATTAATTAAAGCATCTTATGGACAACTACGTTAATGTGAATTAACACATGCATGTATGTTAAACATCAGTTCATAATGGAATGGACACTTGTTTTATTAACTCGCTTGAGGCATTTGAACTCCCTCTATCTCATAATATTTAGTCAGCCCATTGGACCAAATTTTCTCTCTGAATAAATACTGGTTAAAAGCCCTAGTCCTATTTGGTTTATATAGGCACCACCCCTTCTTTAGAGAAGGGAGCTTGAGCTTGTGGGGTATTTTTGGGGTGTATGGCCGAACATGGAGAGATAGGGAAGAGCTTAGTGGCTCCTCTTGCCCTTCTTCTTCCTTTTGCAGGTTCTCCATGGATTCCGGCTGGCCATCGACGTTTTCTGGTGACCATGAACGACGTGCTTCCGTTGCCTACCAGAATATGAGGTATGCCTAAATCCCAAATAAGACTTTTGGGGCATTTTCAGATTTTAGGCTAGATTAGTTATTATGATCTTGTTTAGATCATGTTTAGATCATTTTAAATCTATCAGAGAAAACATACCAAATGGAAACAAACGAAGATCAATCGAGTACTTATAAAGGCTATTGATCTGATGAGCTCCAACTGCCAATCCCACAATTCGGAGGGAGAACAAGAGAACAGTGAGAGAGGGGAGACCGTGAAGATGAGAGCACAGACTGCGAACAACAAATTTTCTTGGGAATGAGATTATTTTCATTCAGTAGGGGTAATGGAGTAATATTGAAAGTTTCATTAATGTGCCACAAGGGATTCCCGCACAATCTACAATCAAAAGCAGCCTTTGGGCTGCTTCTGATTTTAGCCTTAAATTCTTCAAAAATTGTCCAAGAATCACTTCTTTGGGTTTTTACCAAACACACATGACAGTTGTGGATGGCTAAATAAGTGCTTTTGAGCTCCTAGAATCAATACCAAACTGAGTCAATGAATGATCCACTAGAAAAAACAGTTAACCCTACAAAACCATAATGTAGTCATAATTCTACCCGAATCGGGACACATAAGCCCTATGAACCACGATTGTCATCACATAAGACCAGCCACCACAAGAATCTCATTGCCACAGGGATAGAACCCTTGAAGTACTTCAACTATCAATGTTCCATGGGGTTATTGGCACTTTCAACCCCAAATTTTATTTTTTAGTAATTTAAACCTTAAACTATCTTAATTTGGCACTTATTTTTGACAATTTAAACCTTGAACTCTCGCAATTTGACACTTTCAATCTTAATTTTAATTTTTTGGTTATTTTTTGGAAATGGTTTATTGTTTTCAACTTTTTATTATAACTAGTTTTTAATGTACTCCGCACGTATTATCGTGTTAGGGACCGACACCAAAAAGATCACTATTTGAAGAGGTTGGAGACAAAAAGGCTAAGAGCTCGGAAAAGCGGCTATACCCACTCCCTTCAGACTTTTCTCTTTCTATCTAATGCTTTAGGGCTGATACGTTTATATTAAACGTTAGTTTAAAGATTATTAGGAAAAGATTACGAAACTATAATATAAGAACATAAATCTTAAACCAATCAAAGTTATTGAAATTTAAAAGAAAAAAGGCCTGAAAAGAAGAAAAACGAAATATAAAAGAAAAACAAAAAATGAGTAGTCTTCCCTTCTCGACAATAGCCCCAGCCTCCACCATCCCCATCCAATGACGATGACTGACCTATGCGAACTAGACTCCCTCTCCGACTACGATGTACCCAACCCTCTTATGCCAAGCCCCTACCGGCACATCTCATCTACCCCATACTCCAAGCCCATGAGCTCCAAAAACTTATAGTTAATACAAATTGTTAAGGGTTACTCTGATATTATAAAAATGTTAACCAATCAGGATCAATTCTAATGAGCCTTTCAAACTAGTACTTTTTATAATCGACTCTATAGCGCTGATGACCTTGCCAGCATGGTGAGGATGAACATAACCTTGCTCGCATGCTGAGGAGAGATATGGGCCCTGTTTGTTTCCGTTTTCATTTCCATTTTCACGTCTTTCAAGACTAAAAAATGAAAATGGAAACATAAAATGCGTTTGGCCTAAAAAATTTTTAAAAACGAAAACAAAATCGTTTTTGTCTTTTCTGAAAAATTGAAAACAAAAAAAATGTGTTTTCATTTTCTCGTTTTCGTTTTCTGAAAACGGATTTCATTTTTTTTTTCATTTTCTTCTCTCTCTTTTCTGAAACCGTTTTTGTCTTATATAATGATGTTTATTTAATATATTTAATGATATTATTTA